AGGAAGAGGATCAGGAAGGCTTGGTTGGAGAAGGACATTCTGAGCGGCCCAGAAAACATTTGAAGCAGTCACGTTTCCTCGGGTGCTTTTCTTTTTCTGATTACTCTTCTATTGTCTGGAATTAGCCTAGTTTCTATGCCCTGTGCCCCTAGGATATGTCCAGGTATTTAGAGGCCTCCTATGGGCAGGTGTCGAGGGTCTATGACCAAAGTTGGTTACATGTATTATACCCATAGAAAGGAATTTACTTAGAAAGTGTCTGCAGAAAAAGCCTTATTATTAGTTGATCCCTTCACATTATGAATGTTCACACTGCAAAATTGTGCCTGAAAGATAAGAACTTCACTCAGAGAGGCACATAGGTACCCATATTTGGGTTGATGTAAGGCATAGGCCCTTCAAAGTCAACAAAAATTTTATAAGCAGGAAATAGATTTCTCCCACCCCCAGCCCCCAACCATGAACCCATCACCATTTCTGTGCTGCCTGGGGTTCAGGCATAGATTAAAATCCCTACTGGCTATAAGTTTGGTCTGTGTTCACTTCATGACCTTGGGAATTTTATTGCCCCCCTTAATGGCCATTCTAATCGCTTGTCTTCACAGTTCATCATCTTGTTACCTGAAGAGAATCCTAAGAGCTGGCTCATTTCTTCTGTTATCTCTTTGTATAAAGTTTAATGGATGTGCAATCTTTTCACTTTTCTTTTTTTTTCTGTGTCTGAAAGGTTGTGATAACAAAAATAACAATAGCTACGAGCTTTTGTGAAATTAATTATTTTAAATGAGCAAAGAAGACCAAGCACCTGAGAAGAGAATGGCTCAGAAATTGGAAAGAAAGCATGATGCTCTGCTACAGCTGGTTGATATTTGGCTCTTTTATTTTTCTCCTGAGTAACATAAGAGCCATTGAGCTCAGAGGACGTGAACATCCTGCACAGGAAATAGATGGTGTGTGGAGGAGGTGAGGGGGGGCACCCAGCAGCCGTTCTCTGAATCCCTCAGTGAGCTTCCCTTGAATATGTCGGAGAAGCAAGTAGAGGGGCTGGAAAACAGAGGCTGTGCTTGGATGGCTTCCAACACACTTCACAAAGCTCAGGAAAGCTCGGCTAAGCCACATGCATTTTATGTTTTCCCGAAGAAAGACTCTGCTTGTTGGTCTCAGGGTTAAGGAGTCTCAGCAAGTTTTTATAGATGCACTCAAACATTCTCCTAGTATTTTCCTCTGTCATGGAAAGGAGCCCAGGGAATAAAATCACACTTAGTGCCTGCTAGGCTAGTTGGCTCAGGGAAGAGATGGTGGGACAGTTAACTATATTGTGGGGCACCCTTAGCTCCCAGCTTCACTAAGTTTATAAAAAACTGTGTGTGTGTATATGTGTGTGTATGTGTGTACATAAAAGTATGAAATCCTGAAATACATCCACTCTTCTGAATTTAGTTTCGAGTTTCAACTAAGATTGTGTGTGTGTGTGTGTATGCACACACATATATATATATATATATTCATATATATATACACACATACCCACACATATATATATATGAATGAATAAATACTACCTTCATCTTTATCAGGAGGACCAAATACACACCATGTAAACTGTAAAGTATGGAGAGACACAAAGGTAATAGACAAGTGACAAATCTGAAAACTGTCAAGAGCTGAAGCCTGGGTTTTTTTCTTTAATTTCCCCCAAAACGTATTTTAAAGCAAAAAACTAAAGCATTTACTGTTCCTTTGTGAGAATGATATGGGATGTTCATTGGAGCAAAAAGGCCATTTATGAACTGACTTTGGCCTTGCTTTGGCCTGTCATACTCACTTTGTTTATTTCAGAATCTGAGATTTACACTGACTGCATATTAACAGAGAAGAAAACCTGGAGTCATTGGCAATTGGAATTTTCCAGTACAATTTTCCATTATCTGCTCAATTTAAATTGTTTCTTTTCTAGAAAAAAAAAATTTATTTTTAACTTTTTCACTTATGTTCCTCCATAGAAAGCTTACTACTATTTTAAAGACATTTTACGTTGCTCATGAACTTGTAATTTTCTCATTCATAATTAACGCTTTCCTATATTGTTATTTTCCTGAAATTTTAGCCATAAAAGGTATATATAATTATGCTAAATAGAGATGCTGGAATATCATTAGTATCAGAAGTATGTAACAGTGTTCCTAGGTTTAGAATGTTGTGTGTTCCTGTTTTCCCAGGTTTCCACTTCTATTCTTGTGGAACTGGAAACCAGACTTGTTTTGGTTTTCTGTTTTTGGTCATCTGATTATAGTTTACAATTAAGAATCAACTGGTTAAATAAGTGAAGATGGAATTGAATACAGCACCTATCCTTATGCTAATGAGAAAATCTGCAAAATTTTCTCTTTTAAATACTTTTAACAGAAACAAACATTGAATTAGAATTGTCACAATATCTTGCAAGAAAGAAAAATGTGGCCACTTGTTTTTTTTTTAATTTTCTAACTAGAAAAATCATATAAAGTATTCACCACTTGATTCAGGATAATATGATGCAAGATGCTTAAACAATAAGTCCATGCTGTTTGGGAACTATACAACTGCATACAAAAGTAAAAATCAGTTACTTGAATGCAGCAAGTGCAAAGTAGTTCTACTTCAGCCTGATTAAGCAGCGCCACCTACTGCACAGAAGATGTATTTTATGTTCGGAAATTCTCTAGTAGAAACGAATCTCTACAGAGCTAAGCACAAAACAAAATCAGTTTTCAGTCCGCTATTGTGTAAAATTTACAGCTGGGTTATTTTATTGAAGTTTTTTCTAGTGTTTCCCTGTGTCTATTAGTCTACCCATTCATATTGAGAGCAACAATTACATAAGAAAGTGAGAGAGAGAACAGGAGATAAAAAAATGCAAATATGAAAAAAATAGGAATATAGGATATTCATTCTTGATATCTATTGATGTATCTTTTATTATGAAAAAAAGTCCAGTGTACCTCCATTTTCCCTTTTACACATGACAATGACATAAGGATCAACAGTTAACCAATGCTTGTTTTAATCAAACCCTTGTTCACATTTTATTCTAGGCTGCCTATAAGTTTGTCCAATATTAAATGATTATGCATTAAAAGGGCTCTGTTGCATTCCTCTTTCTCTATGTTTTTTATCCTTATAATAGCACTTACATCTACAATATTTTTAAAATAATAATTTCTAACATTCTAATGTATTTTACATTATAGCATCACATAGGCATTTCATAGAGTATTAATAAGAGCATATCTTTTTATTATGTTGGGTCCATTAATTATCTTTTCAACCCTTTGGATTTATTTCATCTAGTCTATTATACCACAACATAAAATAAATAAGTGACAGTAGACATGGTACGATAGTGATTATGATTCTTTTTATTGTTCTCTGTCACTCTTTCAAGGTCTTAACTGATTATTTACCACTCACATTACTCACAATGATGCCTGCACTTTTATGATGAGGAGATCATATCATTTTAGTTCCTGCTTTATAATTAATTTCGCAGCGTGTGCTCATTCATATCAAATCGTATTTGTCATCCATTAATTTATTTATATATTAATGGAATGTCACACAGTCAAGAATTTATGATAGTTAACATTTGCCAGGGCTTTGATCTCCAAATTAACTGAAACATAACATAAATTGGTTCTCTATCATACCAAAGTCATAATTATATGATTGAGGCATGTTAGAAATCTAGACACACAAATAGCACAAATGGTCTCAGTTTTGCATCCTCATTTGAAGAACAGCTATTTGAATCCCAAATACTACTGAAAACTTGACTTACTTATACTTGTCTATATCTTTAAAACTCTGTTATATTTACTGTAACTTTTCTCATTCAATTAAAACTTATTGAATATTTACTATATGCTAGGCACTGTGCTAGGTTCTAGTGATTCAGTGATTAAAAAATGAATTCCTTGCCCTCAGTGAGTTCTCTTTCTTGCAGAGGAAAATGGTGAGTAGTGTGTGAGTAGTCCTGAAACAGTAAGGACAAGACGCTATAGGCACAAAAGGAAGTCAACTCAACCCAATCTTCAGGGAACAGGGAAGTGTAGTAAGGGGGAAATGAAGGAAGACTTCCTGGAGAAGAGAAATCCTGAATTGAGTCTGCAGAAGAGATAAAGCATTTGTCAGGAAGATAAGTAGAAAAAGAGTGTTCTAGGAGAGGAGATAGGATTTGCGAAGACATTGAGATGAGAGAACGGGATAAGTTTAAGGAAATACATGTGGTTCACTTCACCTGAGACTCAAGACAGCAAATAAAGTTCTGAAAGATGAGATTAGACAAATAGGCAAAGTTTAGATAATGGAGAGTCTTTCATGAGTTTGAACTTTATTTATTTATGAATGCTTTATTAGGTTTTTTATCAAAATATTTTAAGAAGTGAGAAGTGAGTGATAGAATCAGATACAAAATGATTAGAAATCTTTCCGGCAACACTGTTAAGAAGGGAATTCAGTAGAGTATGACCAGAGGAAGGGAGATGGGTTAGGGAGTAGTCCAGGAAGTGATCCAAGGGAGAGCAATAAACGACAATGGGCATGGACAAGGAGAAGATGCATATTGATGGACTGTTACAGTAGTAGAACTAATTTAATGACCAAGTTAATGTGAAAACTGCAGAAGAGGAAGGCCAGTAAAACTTCTATTTCCGGTATGAGAAAGGTTTGATGGCACCACTCACTAAGATACAGGCAGTGCACAGATCACAGATGAGCAGAGAAGAGAGATCTGCTGCAAATATGTTAAATGCATCCACGTGGAGAGGTCCGATGGCTGGCTGCTCATGGACATTTTTAGGGGACAGATTTTAAATTAGAGATCTTCAGGTCTGATCTTTGTGAATCCTTAAGAATATGTCTAACTTTATTGAAAAAATAAAAATAAGTTGGAAGTTGGTTCTGCATTATATTCCAAGACCTTCCTTCATCTGTTGCACTGTTCTTACACCCCCTTCCCTCAGAGGACTGGTATGAACAGTTGTATCCCCTCATCCTTACCCTGAAGGACTGCATGGGAGAAGTGGTGAACCGAGCCAAGCAGTCCCTGACGTTTGTGCTCCTTCAGGAACTTGCGTACAGCTTGCCCCAGTGTCTGATGCTGACGCTAAGAAGAGACATCGTCTTCAGTCAAGCGGTAGGTGCCTGTTGTTATTGTTAGTACAAAACAGTGCCGGATTGGCCGGGCGCGGTGGCTCACGCCTGTAATCCCAGCACTTTGGGAGGCCGAGGCGGGCGGATCACAAGGTCAGGAGATCGAGACCACGGTGAAACCCCGTCTCTACTAAAAATACAAAAAATTAGCCGGGCGCGGTTGTGGGCGCCTGTAGTCCCAGCTACTCGGGAGGCTGAGGCAGGAGAATGGCGTGAACCCGGGAGGTGGAGCTTGCAGTGAGCCGAGATCGCGCCACTGCACTCCAGCCTGGGCGACAGAGCGAGACTCCGTCTCAAACAAAAAAAAAAACAAACAGTGCCGGATTGTTAACATTCTATCCTTGATAATGAATAGAATTCTTATTGGGACAGCTTTATTTTTAGAAAGATCCTTAAAGTTTTGGTACCCCATGTTTCTTATTCACGGTAAATATCAGCTGAATATCCTAAGCAAAGAGTATATGAGATCTTAAGTATTTATTTCTGAAAAGAGATGGCCAAGTCTCTAACATATAAATTCTGCTTCACAGGGCATGAAATCCATGAAGGACATGGTCATCATCTTTGTGTTATGCTCAGGGGTCTACATAAGTGTAAGGGAAGGGACTGTTGCCTTGCACTGCAGGTGACAAACTAGGACTTGGCAAGGGGGATCTGTTTGCAGCTGCTTATACGTACAGTTCCCCCATGAATCTTGGGACAAGGTTTCACAAAGATCTCTTATTTTGTTTTTAAAATAAGTTTTCAGGGCAGTAAGGCTTGAATGGGAAGTTTGACAGGGCCACCTTCTTTGCCTACACCCAACATGATTCATAATGCCAAGGCCTACCTCCATCACGGTGACGGTGCTGGTGCCTTCCTTCTCCCCACCTGCCTCCATCCCCATGGCTGAGTTTTATAGACAGGGCATATGGAGGGGAAGAAAAAGAAGGCTTATCTTTCTAAACATTCTAGGAAAACGGAATGTTTTAACCAAACTGTCCCTTTCCCGTGCTAGTTCATGAATGGTACAGTGGCACATGGAGCTAACCAGGTGTCGGAAAATATGCTCTGCCTTATACATATATGTTTTGTCATTGTGTTATTTTCATGACCCTGTGAAATGATTATTATCATCTCTATTTTACATGTACAAAAAATAATAAGATTTGGAAGTGCTTAAGTGTTTATGATTTTACTGTTAGAAATGGTAGACATAAGATTTGAAGACCCATCAACCTCACTGCTGTCCATGTTCTTTTTCCCTTTGCACTTCTACTTTCCCCAAGACTTTTATACACAGCAATTCTAGATCAAAGACTGTCAACTTGTTTTAATATGCCTACCAAATAGTTGTAGTTTTGTTACACATACCTGAGAATCGAATCTGTGATGCCTCAGAAGTCTTAAAATATTTCAAAATAAAACAAATACGTTTGCTAACTGCAGTAAATCTTATCAGTATTTTTTTTTTCAGCTTGCCGGATTGGTTTGTGGTTTTATCATCAAATTACAGACAAGTCTGTATGACCCAGGCTTCCTACAGCAGCTTCACACAGTGGGGTTGATAGTACAGTATGAAGGGCTACTAAGTACATACAGTGAGTATTGCTTTAGTACAAGTTAAAAGTCACATTTCTATTCATAGGATATTTAACCCACAATTTTTTCCAAAAAACATAAAAATAAGAAGTAGACCTTTATTGCACCAAGTATTACAAAAATAATGTAACTTTCAGTTTTTTGTATTCACCTTGTAACTTACTTTTGCCTCCCATTAAGGTTTGAAAATGGAATTATAGATTATTTCAGAGTGGACTTCTGAGCAGCCATCTGGCTTTTTTAATATAAAAGGCTCTGTGCCAACATAGTTTCAATGACTAGATTTTAAAGTCTGAGCCCTGTAATGTCTAGAACTGCACTGTTCAATATAGTAGCCTTGCGTGACTATTGGACACTTGAAATGTGTCTGGTCCAAATCAATAAGTACTAGATATGCAGACCAGATTTCAAAAACTAGTTTTAAAAGGTATTTTATATTGATAATACTTTTATATTAATTTACAACTGAAATGGTATTTTGGATATACTGGATTAAGTAAAATCTATTATTAAAATTAATTCTACCTTTTTAATTTCACTCTTTTAAAAAATGACTACCAGGAAATTTAAAATTATATATGTGGCTCACATTATGCTTCTGTTAGAGAGTGCTGATCTGGAATCTTAATGATCCCCCTCTTAGGCTTCATTTGTTAATGTACGGAGATGCAAAACTAGCATGAACCTGGGTCAGTGATTATCAATTCAGCTACCTCTGTTATTTCTAGACAACGCATATCAGTCCTGCCAGTAGAAAGAAATGTACACAAATCATAAAGGGGTTAAAACCTTTCTCCAGCCTCACAGCAAATGCCCACGTTCTTCCTCCCCTCAAAGGGTAGATTGACTTCTGGAGTCCATTGAAATGGTTCCCATTTCACTAAGGAAAACCTTCAGCCTCTGAGGAAAAGTATCTAGAGTAGGTAGGTTCACTGCATTCAGAAACTCATTCAATAAAATGCTAGAACAAATTCCAGCAGGGAGGCATAGTAGCTAATGACATTTTCCTCAAATGTTTGTTTGTAACTAAGTGCCTTTTCTCTTGCTTAGGTGATGAAATTGGAATGCTAGAGGACATGGCTGTTGGCATTTCTGATTTAAAGAAAGTCGCATTTAAAATAATTGAAGCCAAATCCAATGATGTATTGCCAGTTGTAACAGGAAGACGGTAAGCAGCGCTCACAGTGCTCACTTCCTGAAGACCAGGCTTTGTTAGATGTGTCATATTAACTCCTGTCAGAGGAGGCAAGGAGAATTCAGGTTTGATTTGGGAATTTTTCTTTTGTTTTCTTTTCCTTTTTGGTAAAAAATAAACATGGGTGATATGATATGGGACAATCTTGAAAAACTCCTGGAAGTCTCATGAATGTTTTAAATTGTAGTGAGTTGAGTATGGCAGTACTCTCCCACAAAATACAAGAAATTCAAAATAATAGCTTGCATGAGAACATTTTTCTCCTTATTACTATCTCATCCAAAGCTGTGGGTGTTTTTACTTTTGTGGGAATCGTTCAGTTAATAGAATCATAATTCTTGAGATGACTTTAAATTAAATTCAGTTAAAAGCAGTAACATTTTAGAAAAGATATATTTCTGTGTCAGGGGAATATACCACCATTTCTCTTAATTATTTTTGACAACTCACTCTCAGACTGTGAGATTTCCGAGAAGGATTTTAAATAAATAGCTTCGAAGGTCAGTGTATGATGGGCAAAATATCAGAAATAATTAAGAAAAATGATGGTGTGTAGAACATACCTCCAAAAGAAGAGGTACATCCTATAGTAAGTTGTCTCAATCAGAAGTCCAAACTATTCTGGTGTTAGTGTTTTTAATTGCTGCATGAGGATAGTTAAAATTTGAAACATTCTCAGGTCATGTTCAAAACATATGAATATACAAAAGGGAGAGTCCGTTTCATGCTAAAGAGAGATGCAGAACAAACTAAGTATAAAGTTCAAAGTAAACTTGTCTTCTTGTTGATAGTAAACATATAATAATTATTTTAAATTTTGTGAAGGATACTCAGAACCACATAGTTGGCTGAAAGGTAACTTTCTTACTCACAAAAAAAACCCACATCCTCAGAAACTAAATATTTACCTAGAATTAATACTTAACTTGCCATTCATCTGGGAGAAAGAGAATAAAATTGCTCATACGCACACCCGAAAAACAGCACAATTCTATATTTCTCTCAAGTTTACTGTCAAAAGTGAAACACTAATACTTATATCACAATGTTTAAGGGAAGCTTACCAGGCCATCTGGCATAGGCAGAGTGCAGCTTGCTTTTTCTGAGGAAGTTCTTCAAGCAGTATTGAAACTCAAAAGTAATCATGTAGGTAGGGGCATGACTCCGAGAATGATGAAGTGAGCAGCTTAGCACACCCTCTCTCCAAAAGCAATATTACAACTGGAAATAATAATCCGAAACAACCATTTTAGGACAAACAGAATAAATCGGATGCACACCACAAATTCAGAAGCACTTGTTTGCGAGAAACCAGAGAACATTGGGTAGCATCAGTAAGAGTCTGAGGCATTTTATTGAGGACTGCTCCCATCAACCCTGGCCCTGTGAACACAGTTCTCCTAGGGCAAGGCCATTAACACAACAGCTTCACTACCAGAGTGGGCTGATTTGACTTGGATTGGAGTAGGAAATAGCACAGTCCTGAAAGTTGTCAGAAACAGTGGTGGTTTGGATTAACAAGTCTAACTCACAATTACATCAAAAAGAATAGGTGTAAATTTAACTAAGTTAGAATGTTGTACACAGAACACACAAAATATTGCTGAGAGAAATTAATAGGATCCAATAAATGGAGAGACAGCCTGTGTTCATGTATTAGAAGACTCAGTATTGTTTAGTAATTCTCCATAATTGATCTATAGATTCACTGCAATCACTATCTAAATCTCTGTAGTCTTTTTGCAGAAATTGGCAAGCCTAACCTAAAATTTATATGTAAATGCAAAGGACCCAGAAATTTTGTAAAAGAAGAACAATTTTTGTAAAAGAAGAACAAAGTAGAAAAGTTTATACTTTCAGACTTCACAAATGACTACAAAACTATAATAATCAAGACAATGTAGTATTAGCTAAGTATATACATGTAGATTAATTGAACAAAATTTACTCTCCAGAAATAAACTATTATCCTTAAAGTCAAGTGACTTTCAGCAAAGCTGCCAAGGTTAATTCAATGGAGAATGGAGAATCTTTTCAAAAAACGATGCTGAGACAATTGGTTTATCTATATGGAAAGAAAAGAATTTACACATATGCAAAAATTAGCTCACTATAGATTATCAGTCTAAATGTAATAGCTAAAACTGTGAAACTTCTAGAAGAAAACTCAGAAGGAAATATTTGTAAGTTGGGTTTAGGTAATGAGTTCTTAGACATAACACAAGAATCAAGACCCATAAAAGAAGAAAATAGATAAATAGGACTGCATCAAAATTATAAACATTTAGGCATCAAAAAAAAACACCATTAAGTAAGTAAAAAGACAAGCCACACATTAGAAGACAGTATTTACAAATCATATTTTTGAAAAAGGACTCATATTCAGAATATGTAAATAAATGTTACAACTCAATAATAATGACACCAAAAAACAAATTTAAATATGGGCAAAAAGTTTGAATAGTCATTTCACCAAATAGGATATATGGATGATTTATAAGTTCAAGAAAACATATTCAACATAATTCATCACTAGGAGAATAAATTTAAAATCAAAGATACCAATCCACTTACACTAGAATCATCAGATAAGAGCAAATGTTGGTGAGGATGTGGAAAACCTGGAACCCTTGTACATTGCTGGTGGAAATGTCACTTTGAAAACAGTTTGACAGTCTTAAAAAGTTAAATACAAAATTATCATATGACTCTTAGACATACACCCAAGAGAAAATGAAACATACTTCCACACCACGGTTCATTCCTGCATGTTCATAGCAGCATTATTAATAATATCCCAAATCATGGAGTAATCCAAGTGTCCATCAACTGATAAATGTGTCAACAAAATGTGATATCGATACAATAGAATCCTATTCACTAATAAAAAGGAACAAGCTTCTGATACGTACCACAACATGGATGACTTCAAAAACATTATACTAGGTGAAAAAGGCCAGATAGAAAATATTCCATGCTGTATGAATCAATTCATAGGATATGTGCAGAAAAATAAAATTCATTCATAGGAAATAGAGAGAAAATAGATGAATGGCTTTCTGGGCTGCTGATGGTAGTAGAGTTGAGTGTAAATGGGCACGAGGAATTGTTTTAAGTTGATGGAAATGAACTAAACCTGGATTATTGTGATGATTGTGTAATTTTATAAATTTGCTAAAATTATTAATTATATATGTAAAATACATTAGTTCATATAAATTTCTTAATAAACCTGGTAAAATTATCACAAAGAAATTATATGTTTCACCTTCAGAGAAAGTTTAAATCATGAACTGACTCATTGATGCTTCTCATATTCCTGAAAGACTGTTAGCCAGGCTATTGTAAATGGCATTGAGAGCAATTAAACAAAGAAAAATAATGCGCTCATTCATCTGAAGGTAATGCTAACATCCATGCTTGCTAAATTCATGATATTTACCAGGTCTCTGTTTCATAGCTAGAAAAAAACAAGTCTCAGAGTCAGTGGTCCATACTGTTTATCAATAATGTTACACTAGGAGAAATTAAAAAGATTTTCACAAAGAGGCTCACTATTTGTCCTATGCTTATTTCCCCAATGTGTATCTTACAATCCCACCCCTCTGTATAGTTCTTGAAACACATGGATTTTCTCAACCTCTGGGCAAAACTTTCTAAATTTCTATATTCAATTCACACTGTATTGGAAGATGACAATTTTTAAAATATGTAAGTAGGTACTCTTATTAATCATATTGTATCAATCCTAACTTAAATTTTCAACATTAAAAAGGGGGAAGTTTTTAATGGACATTTCCAATGAAAAAATGCTCCTGTGATATGTTAATGTTTCAAAATGACCAGAATTCCCAAAAGTTTCACTCTAAGCAATAAAAGCATTACCTTTCCATCAGCCCATCATAAACAGAAACACTCATCAATAGTGATAACAAACAGGCCATACCAAAACACTATATAAATTATTTGGTTTATTTAGCTTCACTGTATTGAAACAGCAGTCATTAGATTAGTGTTCTTATTCTTAGTACTGATTGAGTTTTAAAAATAAGAAAACAAAATGAGGCTATCAATGCACATGACCCTGGGTATACAAAAATGGACTAAACATTTCTTTCCTAAGGAATTCAGAGTGAGGTAGAGAAATCACACATGTAAATGAATCCTTACAAACTTTTTTATGTCAAGTAATTTAATAAGGAGATGAATGAATGAGGAAAATAAGCATATAGCAAACAGAAAACTAAATCAGTGCTATATCCAAACCCTTTTATTGTTTTCTTCCAATAAATCTAAAATAACACAAAAGAAGTAAGTAATGTTTCTTCCCTTTGTCCTCTGCCTTCTTTAGAGAACATTATGTGGTAGAGGTCAAGCTTCCAGCCAGGATGTTTGAGTCGCTACCTCTACAGATTAAAGAAGGACAGTTGCTTCATGTGTATCCAGTACTTTTTAACGTTGGAATCAATGAACAGCAAACTCTGGCTGAGAGGTAAGCTTTGGTGTAAGAGTGGCACTTGAGATTTTTCTTTGTTCCTCTTAAGCATATGATGAGAAGTCCCACATATCTGCATATAGAACTAACATCGATTTATGCATAACATTTTTCTTTTTATCAGTACCAAATTATTTGAGATAGAAGGTAAATTTTCATATTTAAGGAATCCTGGCCCAAGTCAAATTTAAATGTGGCAAAAACATTGAGGAAAATCTTGATGCCAGTACTAAATAAAGCATTCAAATGGATTAACCTTCTTTATTTCCAAATACCTATGTGTGTATTAAAGTTTAGAATTCATGTTTATATATATATCAATATTGTAAACAGATAATAGCATCAAATTTTTGTGTTTTTTGTTTTGTTTTGTTTTGAGACGGAGTCTCACTCTGTCACCCAGGCTGGAGTGCAGTGGCCGGATCTCAGCTCACTGCAAGCTCCGCCTCCCGGGTTTATGCCATTCTCCTGCCTCAGCCTCCCAAGTAGCTGGGACTACAGGCGCCCGCCACCTCGCCCGGCTAATGTTTTGTATTTTTTGGTAGAAACGGGGTTTCGCCGTGTTAGCCAGGATAGTCTCGATCTCCTGACCTCGTGATCCGCCCGTCTCGGCCTCCCAAAGTGCTGGGATTACAGGCTTGAGCCACCGCGCCCGGCCCAAATTTTTTAAATCTAAAACAGAGTCTTTCTCTTTTTTGTGTTTATTGTAATGGTTATTATTTGGTAATGTTAACTTTTTTTTATAACGACTTGCTCAGTCAACAAATGATTGTACTGTGATCCCATGAGTCACTGTTAAAAATCACTTTTTTCGGCTGGACACGGTGGCTCATGGCTGTAATCCCAGCATGTTGGGAGGCAGAGGCAGGTGGATCACCTGAGGTCAGGAGTTCAAGATCATCCTGGCCAACATGGTGAAGCCTTGTCTCTACTGAAAATACAAAAATTAGCTGGGCGTGGTGGCGGGCGCCTGTAATCTCAGCTATTTGCGAGGCTGAAACAGAACAATCGCTTGAACTGGGGAGGCGGAGGTTGAGGTGAGCCGAGATTGCACCATTGCACTCTGGCCTGGGTGACACGAGTGAAACTCTGTCTCAAAAAATTAACAAAAAAAGATCATAGAGCATACTTTTGAAATATTTTAGAGGAAGAAGTTATCATCTTCGCTGTGGGGGCTGGCTGGAGAAGTTCCTTCACAGGCAACAATTTGGGGAGTTTGATAGTCTTTGGTAGTATAATATTTAACATGCTTTCTTGTCTATAATTCACTCTCCAAGTGACCCCTGCCCCACAGGTAAGGTTAAAAGTACCTAGCACATTCCTTGCTTTGGTAATGAAGCACTTTTGAAGGCTAGTGTCTAGGATCAGATTATATTCTATTTATCTATACATATTTGTCTTAGCAAATTCAGTGTTTAAGATGAATGATATTCCGGATCATAAACTCTACAACGTGGAGCAGGGAAACAGCACTCCAAATTGCCTCTTCTTTGGTACACTAGAGTAGAGTGTTTAGAGTTGGAATTAACAAGGTCTGTTATTGCGATCTTGAGAGAGATATGAGACTCTTTTATTCACAGACTTTTCAAAGACTAGTCAGCATTATATTTTCAAGGCTTCTAAAATGGACTAATTTGCATCATTCTTGTCATTGTGACTGTTTTAGTTGTCAGTCATTTTATTTAAGAAGTGTCCTTTCCTTCCCTCTCATCTCTCTTTCATACTAAGAATGCACTTTTTTCACACGCGGAAGCCGTACAAGACACACAAGACTGGAAAAGAAGGCAAAATGGCAAAGTAGGGAAACCCTGTGAGAAGGAGGCCTGAATATGAATAGCACTCTGACATCAACCAACTGTTAATCTGGGCATATTGCTTACTCTCTGTTCTCTGGACCTCCTTTTTCTGATTCTGAATTTTGAGCTTTACCAGCAACATCTACATGTTAGATGTGCTATGTAATCTAGAAGTAATATTTTACTACTGTTTACTCAAAATCAAAATGTAGATCTTGTATATGACCATTCTTAGATAAATAAATACTATTAGTCTGCTAGGGCTGCTGTAACAAAATACCATAGACTGGGTGGCTTAAACAATGGAAGTTTGTTTCTCATAGTTCAGGAAGCTAGGAAGTCCAAGGTCAAGGTTCCAGCCAATTTGGTTTCTGATGAGGGCTCTTCTTCTGGCTATCAAATGACTGACCACATTCTCCCCGTGTGCTCACACAACCTCTTCTTTGTGCCTGTGAACAGAGAGAGCCCACCCTCGTAATCTCATTTAACTTGACCCCTTAGGGACCATATCTCTAAATACTGCCATTTTGGGGATAGGGTTTCCACATATGAATTTTAGGACAACACAAGCATTTACTCCATAACACTAATATTAAGCCAGTATGGTATTTTTAAAATACCATATGCTCTGCCAAGCTGTGGGATATAAGGGGAATAGAGGATAACAAGAAGCATGAAATCTGCTTCCTATCCTGAAATAATGTATAATCCTGTGAGGAAGAGAAGTCAACAAACATTACATTACAGTTTGAAGAAGACTATGTGGACAGAACCATTTGACTTCTCGGTATGAACAGAAAAAGATGTCAGCAGAAATGATCTACTGTCTGGGAAATCTGGCTCTACGTGTGCCTATAGCAGTTGATAGTGTGGGCAAGACTGTGTGCAGCCCAGTGTCCAGTGCTGGTCTTCTGGACCCCTCCCTAAGCAGCCATGAGTGAAATGGAAGGTTGGATAGATAATAAGAAAGAAGGTTTTTAAAACACATACAGAGATACAGCCCTGCAGTGGAGGTGTGGAGTAGGATGGGGAAATTAATATTATCAATTATGTCCATGCACAAAGACTGGTGTTTCATACGTGGTATTTCCTCCAAATTCACATTTGATGGTTGTGAGGATATTTGATGCATTAGAAGTGATTAGTAAAATCAGGGCCAGTGGAGATTGGAATATGTTTGAAATCACCATTGTGCATTGTAGCCTGAAAAATGAGACAGACTCTTTCCTTAGGAAATTATTCCAATCCATTTAAAAAGGAAAGGTAAAACGTGTTACTTTTTGGTGCCATTTTATAACTTATAACTGTTTTCTTTCTTCTATTTGTAGGTTTGGAGATGTCTCTTTGCAAGAAAGTATTAATCAGGAAAACTTTGAACTTCTACAAGAATATTACAAGATATTTATGGAAAAGATGCCTCCTGATTGTAAGTATGTGAGTTAGAGAAGATAACAATAATGGCTTCTTGATTATAAATCTTTAGAATAGGTCAGACATAGAGGTCACTGGACTAAAGAAGCAGGGGTGGGGATATGAGAGTGATTTTGAAATTATCTGATTTCAAAGACTGATTGCCAAGGTGGCATGGCCAACACCTGCATCATTCTCTTGATTGCCTTCTTGAATGTGTCCTGCTGTTCATTCTAAGACATTAATTGCATTGCCACTAGAAAATGCCAAATAATAAAAATATGGACCTTATAATTACACATTTTAATTAGTCTGATAAAAATTTTGTATAATTCTTAACCATATAAAAGACTTGACTAAAGACTTGACTAAAGATTTAAGTCTCCATTTACAAGCAACATCAGACATTGGACACGCATGTGGGAGAACATCAGATATAACACCAGTTATACAAGGTAATATTAAGTCAGTGTGAATGAGGGAACTAACTTATTAAATATATGTATTGCAGTATTTTGTGCAAAAATGTTAAGGACCCAAGCCTTTAAAAATGTGTTTTACACGTTTGGAATTTGTCTTGGAGGGGGTTGTTGTTCAATTCTACATTTCTTTTCCCCATTGCATTAAGCACAAAACATTTGAGCAGTCCAAAATCAGAGAGCTTGGAATGTATTTGGAATTCATCTATAAATAGTATAAATATGTTGAGATATTCACAATGATAAGTGAAGTTTAATAAAGTAGGAAAATTATATTTTAACCAAAAGCTATAATCAAAGTCTGCTTGTTACTACTTGTTGTTTAATCATGAACAATTTGCTCACTGATTTATATTCTGTTGTTTAGTTGAAATATGTCAGGTGGCAGAGCGTTTATTCATAACCTAATGAATGTGGTATCAAAATATTACAGTGGCATATGCATGCCCATGTGTGGATAGTTAAAAAATGTCACTTGCAGATTTTATATTATGATTTATATATTTTATTTCAAATCAAATATTATTTTTGGCCAAAATGAACTTAAGTACATGGAGATTCTTTGGCAGCCACATACTTTCAGTATTAAATTTTTTAATGACCTGAAAAGTTAATAATGTAAGTAAAACTATTTTTCTTTAGTAATTAATGAAAAAGAGTTTATTGTAACTTGGATGTTAATGATTTTTTTAACAAACTATAATTTTTATCAAGCTACTGATAAAAATTCTGAGACTTTTTTCCAAATTATATTTTTTGTATTAATTCTTGAAAAGTATATGTGGTCCCCAGTTCAGCAGCATCAGCATCACCAGGAAACCTGTTAGCAATGCAAATCCTCAGGCCCAGCTGTGAATCTACTAAACTCTCCCCGAGTCTCTGTTTTAATGGGCCTTTGAGGTGACTTCTGATTCATGCTAATGTTTGAGAACTAATAATACGCCATCCTTACTCAAAACATATATTATAAATTAGGTTGCTGGCAAAGTCTGTGAAGGGTTCCAGTACTAAAACCAATCATATTGCTAAAGAAATATGTAGAGGCACTGTTGAAATACAAAATAATTCTACATTCAAGTAGCTCTTCGTAGGAATGTAACTCTGAAAAATTGTAGCCCGGGCAACATGGTGAAACTCCATCTCTACAAAAAATACAAAAATTAGCCAGGCATGATGGTGTGCGCCTGTGATCCCAGCTACTCAGGAGGCTGAGGGTTGGGAGGATCGCTTGAGCCCGGGAGACGAAGCTGCAGCGAGCCAAGATTGTGCCACTGCACTCCAGCCTGGGTGATATAGTGAGACTCTGTCTCAAAATAACAACAACAACAAAACAACATGTGATTCTATATGTTGCCAATTAAATATTAAACAAGTGTTTTTGAAAACATGTAAATATATTTCTCTCCTTGCAAATAAGATGGAATTTTGTATAAAACCAATTGCATTTCATTGCTTACACAGTTGTCTGAACATACTGGATTTTTTTCTGATATTTTGTTTCCTGTATTTTTGAGACAACTCTCTTTGACACAGAATGGAGTTGTAGTATGACTGTGGTTGTGCTCCATAACAAAAGTACAAATCCAATCTATACAATTATAATGACATATGGGTTTATTCCTCCTATAGACACATTGCAAGCCAAAGAATGATTTGAATTGTGCTCTATTTAAGGAAAAAAAAAATAATACAGCTTTTATAAGAGTATGAGTAGAGGTTAGGCCATTTGCTAAGAAGGAAAAAACTGTCATGCTGGGTCATATCCATAATCCATATAATCTATTATTTTCCTTCTTTCATAGCGAAATCAAGGGATAATTTGTGTCAATGTTAAAGGATAGGTTAATTTCTTAAACATATTACTGGCCAGGCGTGGTGGCTCATGCCTGTAATCCCAGCACTTTGGGAGGCCAAAATGGGCGGATCACGAGGTCAGGAGATCGAGACCATCCTGGCTAACACAGTCAAACCCCGTCTCTACTAAAAATACAAAAATTAGCCGGGCGCGGTGGCGGGCTCCTGTAGTCCCAGCTACTTGGGAGGCTGAGGCAGGAGAATGGCATGAACCCGGGAGGCGGAGCTTGCAGTGAGTAGAGATTGTGCCACTGCACTCTAGCCTGGGCGACAGAGCAAGATTCCATCTCAAAAAAACAAAACAAAACAAAACAAAAAAAACATATTACTTTCACTTTTTAATTCATTATTGACGTGCTGACTCTTAATTTATTGATCCTCTTTTTAAATTATTTATGAATTAAGCAGGTGAATTCTATTTTGGAAGTAAAAAAAGGTTTCTTCTCCAAAGATTTTCTTAACTTTAAGGGATATCCCTGACTTTTGTGATATCAGGACTTAATGATAAATTAATTTTAGCTTATATATTCACTCCCAGTCAAGTAGCTCTCATCTTTTTACTCTTCTCATATAGAAACATTTGTGGACTAAATGTTCTTTCCAAAATGTCATCTAATTCTGTTATATATGTAGCAATTTTAATTTATAGTCTCAATTCAGCAATCTACAAACATGGAATAGTTTTATTTCAGTAACTACTACCAGTTTTATGAAGCACTCATCAACCTTTAGAAGTTAGTAATTGGGAATAGGAAATGGATAATTAAAGTTGCCAATCAACATGCCCTTTCAATATGTTTAGCATAGTCTAGTGCTTTTAGACTACTTAAAATCTCAGTTTCATTTGGAAGAAATATTCAGCCAAGTTCAGATATTATTATCCTCCACCCCCATCTTCCTTGCAACTGTAGAAAGGCCATTAGTGGAAGTCTTGGTAGGGCTGGGTGGCCTCTGTGTCTTTCTTTCTTTTGGGGAATTCATGGGATCTAGATCTGGGATGTGCCTGTTACAGAGAAAGAGGCCACATATAGGAATCCCAGAAGTTCCTTTCCTGTAAATCTTTGCTGAATCTTCATCTACAGAAAATAATATATTGTTGGTCCTCAGTATCCGTGTGATCTGTGTCCGCAGATTCAATCAACCCCAGATCAAAAATATTTGGGAAAAAAAGTGCAATGACAAAAGTATTAAAACTTTTAAAACATAGTCTAAGAGCTATTTACATAGAATTTATATTGCATGAAGTATTATAATTAATCTAGAGATAATTTAAAGTATAGGGGATGATGTGCTTAGGTTATTTGCAAACACTATGCCATTTTATATAAGAAAATTGAGCATCTGTGATTTTGGTATCTTCTGGAGTTTTGGATCCAATCCTCCTTGGGTACCAAGGGACAACTTATATATCTGTCAGATAGACAAAGCTGTTGATGACTGCTCTATCTGGGCACATGTATTGTGTGTTTCTCCCACCAAATCTCCTCTGCATGTGATGCAGCTCTCAGACAGTTGTTCTGCTGACTCTAAGGCACGAGAAATCTTCAGAAGTTACTTGCCCTCAGGTCCTACCTGTGATACTCACTGGCCCCTTTGATCAGCCTGGGAATTCCAGTGTGGCAGTTATTAGTGCTTCTCCCTTTTCTCGCGCTAATCTTCCTGTTGGGCTTGATGATCTCAGACATCCTTCACGTTCCCTTTTGTGCCTACCTAAAGCATTCAGACACTTACATTTTGTGCTAGAAATAAAATAAAATAGTACTTCTGTAAATCACTCACACAAACTGCTCCGTGTTTAAAGTCACCACCGCATCTTATACATGATTCAGGGCTTCTGAAGGAAGCAGATAAAGCCCCTTCTGTCTTCCTCTTCCCTTTAAGGGAGGAAGAAACAACTCTCAAAGTATTACGGCTAAATTCTGTGTCCTTTCTCTAATAAAGAAGAAGGATATTGTCATACGGCTCTAATGAAATTGTACCATAATGATTCCTATGCTAGCACTATAAGGGTGAGCTTACTAGCACTGTGAGCTAAGAAAGAAAACAGGGCTTTTTTTTTTTAACCTGTTCTATACTTTTTATACAATATTTGACATGCCAGTGTTTTGTATATAGTGTTTCATCAACTACATCAATAAGGATTATATACAAAATATTTTTTAGAAAAAGAAATTTAGTACTGTAATGAGGGTATGTAGAATGTAGTGTGTGTGTATGTGTGTATGTGTGTGTGTGTGTTTATGAACAATTTTCACTGTAAGTCTCACATTAAATTTAGCAGATATTGGTGGAGATAATAGTACGTGTAAAAGTCTATTCTATTCAGTTTGGATGATGAAAGATGAATAAGATACAGTCGATGCCCTAGTAGCTTTCAATTTAATGACTCAAGGTAATCAAAGAATAATCTACATTAAAGCTAAACCTCTTTCTGAAACAATAGTTGCTCTTTTGGAGTGTTGATTCATTTTCTGAATAATTTAGTTTTGTTGTTGCTGTTGTTCAAACAATTTTACTTTCTACCAACTTCTGACACTCATTGTATAGTTATGCATTGTCACAGATTTTATTTTTGCACTAGGAAAAATAAAACATCATCTGCATCACTTATATTTATAAAAATAAGAAAATAGGATAAGAACCCAATATTTTATAGATAACTAATTTCAGAGGAATTATTTGA